ATACACTACCGGCCAAAAGTTTGGAATCACCTCCCACTTCTCATCAATATTAAATCCGCTGCTAATTTTTTGTAGATTTGAAGTTTATCTAAATTCTACATCTATCAATTTATCTCATATCAATTGATTCGAACGATAAAAAATTCTCAATGTCGTTGACTTCTTTCTGGGAATTTTTGTGTAAATTGCAATGCTCGGTGATTCCAAACTTTTGGCCGGTAGTGTATGTACCTATACATTTCTGTTTTTTTTACCATACGTTGTAACAGACACCGATGTGCATTGACGCATGCACAATAGTACGACCTTAGAATGACCTTGGAAAATTTTAAACGAAACGTGAAACTTCCTTCGATTTATTGCCATTTCTTCCATCAGAAAAAATTTTTTAGAAATGCCATTTTCTTTATTTCTCTTTTTTAACGTCACCTGCTTTTTTTTTATATGAAACAATACGACCTTAAAATGACCTTGAATTCCAAAATTTTGAACCAAATGTGACACACTTCCATCCATGTTTCACCACTTCTTTCGTAAAAAACATTCTTCTATAAATACCTCTTTTTTAGCGTTCTTTTTAAAGGTCATCTACGTTTTCCTACATGAAATAGTACGACCTCAAAATGACCTCGAGCTCTAAAATTTTAAACCAAACGCGAAACTATTTAAATAACGTAGAAAAATGTTCTCGTACCACCACGACAGCTACTAGAGAGGACAATTAGGCGTCCCGTTTTACACGACCCACCCCGTATACCCCGACAATTTCACCTGCGTACAAGCAGAAGTATTTTGTCGGGTATCCGATGACGTTGGTCGATCGTAAAACCGATTTTACCGGGCACGACGCACACAAAGAGCCGCTGACAAAACGGATTGTGGAACCAGATCTCCCTGGGCTTGGCGTTGTAACGATACCATAGCAGAACGAGGGGCAAGAGGGGGGCATAGGCGTAGCGTACGAAGGCCGTGGGTGAAACGCGGCGCAAAATTGATTTCATTATCGATAAGGGAGTTACCGATCGAAAGAGCAATATACCAACGAGGAAGATTACCGCTATTTTGTTGTCGTCAAAGAATAAGCAACAGACTCTCAACAGAGAGAGAGGAACCGTGTAACGAACGTGAAAACTGGGGCTCGTTTCGATATAGGAAGCTTAAGGTGTACCGATGGTATGTAAATTGCAGAGAGAGAGAGAGAGAGCGTGCACAGAGAGATTGGATGCAGGCCAATGTCCTGCCGGTTGCGCCATTGGGATCGAGCCCGACGATCCTCAAGGCCGACAATTGCTCAGCTTTAGTCCTCAATGGTGTTTCGCTAGAACGACCCATATAACGAACTTGACGCGACGCGTGGCGCCCACCCTCCTTTTGATCTCCACGGTGAAAGGTGCTCTCGTGAATCTCGAGGACGCTCGACCGTTTTATCGTGAGTTCCCTTTCTCCTGAATCGCGTGGTGGTGCAGCAGCGAGAGCAAACCTCATGGCAATCGACCCGCGAGCGCCTAGAGCCTGCCTTCCTTCACCGCTCTTACCGGCACGATACGGAACGGAAATTGCCGCGGCCGTGAGATACCGCAAAGAGATCGCGAGCTCGCGAGCGCGCAACGGAGAACCACCGCCTATCCGTAGCGACTCCTCAGCCTGATCCCTATGGCTAACTCCGTTGATCACGTGGGGCTGGTAAGTACGGTGTGGAAGTAATTACAGCTGTACTTACATTCTGCGGGGTACCGAGCAAACTGGTTTCGAATTACCGGCGTGTCCGTATATATACACACTACGGAAATCGTATTTTACGAAATGTATCTATAAGATACTTTGCGTTTCAACGACACCTGGTTACTTGCATACAGAACCGTGTAAACTCGAAGATAGACAGATGGACAAGGAAAGAGAGAGAGAGAGAGAGAGAGATTTCTATCAGCACTTAGAACAACTATGCGCTTAAAACTTTACTGGCGAACTTTCCTCTGGGCTCGTTTTATTTTCCACGCCTACTAAACTCTTCTCTATGGAACGAAGGTGTGTGCGTTTGTGTGTCTATGTGTGTAATATATATATAGTCGTTGAATACGAATCGTGCATGACCCTTTTTTCGCTGTCATCGTCCTATGAACAGCACATTTAAAGTTTCCGGAACGAGGAAACTTCGCGAGGAAACGGAATTGAACAGACGAGAACAGAAACGATTTCTCCTCAGTCACAACGATGCCACCGCCCCTCTCTATCCCTACACCCTTCTCTACGCTTCGCGAATTCGCTTCGGGTCGACGTTTTTCTTTTTCTCTTTTTCAGAGAAAAAGGAGGGGGGGGGGAGGGGAAGAAAGAAAGAGAAGAAAGGGGTGTATCCTCCTGACCGTTTGTCCCGAGAAAAGGATTTTTTTTCTCCAAATAGAAACATCGGTCGTCTCTCACTGTGTGTGGTACGTGTGCAGCCTGCGGCGGTGGTGTAGGCGCATTAATAATGTAAGTGTGCAGATGGTGTGCAGTGAGTGCGCGGTGGCGCTGACTAGGATCAATGTTCCGTTCGCGATCTATATAGTATATAGTACAGTATATGTAACGACAAACGCCGGGGCTATGTGAGAAACAACACCGTTACACAGGTCATTTCCACAGAATATATTTGCAAATATTCTGATCAAACGTACGTATGGAATATGTATTTGAAAACAAGCATACGCGGCGCTAGCACACGATCTGTCCGGTGGTTCTGTATCCCGTCGGATTTGTTTGAACAGCTAGATACATAAAATGTTGCGATACAAATGGCGGTTGACGAAAAGAGAAAGACTCGATGGAAAAAAAACGGTTCCTTTTCCCTTTTTCCTCCCTGGTTCTGTTATCGATGCGAAATTTGACACGCACGCAGGTTGTACACGGAGATATTTCACCGGTCGACGGTACGTTTCGACGACGGAAACGCTAATTTACGCCGGGAAATTAAGAAGCACGCCGTACAGACCGTGAAGCGTGCCGTTACAGACAAGAGTCGTGTGTGTTTGTCTAAAGTGGATACGTGAAATTAGCGAGCGGATCGAGGCGGAGGGGAAAACGGTATATAATACGGGTATATGTTTCGCAAGCGTGTAATAACGTATTTTATAAATTTATTCACATGATTTAAATAAATCAAGTATACAGTTAAGTTTTTTTCCCTTTTTTTTTTCTTTTTGTTCTGTTGTCTCTCACGACACATGCGCAAACACCGTGTCGTCGTTACTCGAGTGTGCCGCAAAGCTGAGACGCTTCTCTTCGTTCGAATCGTTTCTTCGTAATTTCTCACCCTTAATTTACCGTTTTTTTTTTTTCTCTATTTCAACACGTTTCGTGTCCCGTTAGATTTTTCTTCTTTTCCCTGCTTCTGCCGTGTCTTCCTTCGTTTCGTACGTACGTTATCCTTACGCGATAAATAATATTTTACATGAGGCGACGTTCGATATACATATTTACATATCGTACAAGTTCTTTAATCATCAAGATCGGACATATAAAATTACAAAAAGTCACTTTTCTACCTAGTCGAGAATTGAAAAAGTCGAAGCTAAAAAACTCTCTCTCTTTCTACGCGGTGAAGAACCTAACAAACACGTCCGAGTAAACGACATTATTTGTCGCCGGCTTCGTTCATTCTTATTATGTATAATAAATATATACAATGTACAACATCCGCGTACACATATACGCCGCGATTGATATACAAGCGTGAACAGCTTGCAGCCACTATTTACATATTGCGGTTTTCATTTGCTCCTCCTAATCCACCTCCTCCTCTTCTTCTTCTTCGTTTCGTCCCGTTTTCTATATAATAGATATGTACACACGACACGTTGAACCGAATCGCCATTAAAAGGCGATATTTCCCGACGATTCCGGTGCAAAGGAGACGGCGTGTTTATACTTTATTACTCGCTGAAAAGTCGTCAAGTGAAGTGGGTGAGGGAGTAGAAGAGTCCCTGTCGAACTAGGTTCTCGCGAGACGCCATTCAGAAATTCGCATAGTACAGTTTGCGCGCGCGCAATCTGTTTCGCGTACAGAGGGAAGAGGCTCTGATATCGAGAAAGCTAGACGAGGATCGGAGACAACGGAAGAGAGAGAGAGAGAGAGAGAAACCGTGGGAAGAAGGAGGAAAAGGGGAGTGAAAAAAAAGAAGGCGAAAGCCAGGAGTGGAAAAGTGAACAATCACGCTTTTACCGATGAAACAAAGCAAGAGCGAACGCGTTTCACGAGAGAGAAAAAGAAAAAAGAGGGAAAAAAAAAGAAAAGACCGCCGCGAACAAATATTTCCAAAGTAGCCGTGGATGTACTGTCAGAGCTAATCGCGTGTTCTTCTTCTATCCGTGGAAACTACACACACACACACACTAACGTCTCTCCTCATGAGCACAGCCCGTGGAAAAGGCGGCAAGCTCGACGACAATCATTCCGAGGTACTGTCCGTAATTAATTAATAATTAGATAGTAATCATTCTGAAATCCTTCCTATTATTCCCCTTATAGTACAGATTTAGTAACCTTAGATACTTGACACACGAATCGAGGGTCAAGAAAATATATGTCTTTCATTTATCAACTATCCAAGGTTATCGCGTTCGTTCGAGCAACTTTTCTTCCCCTTTCTGTTTCTTTTTTGTTTTCGTTTTTTCTTTCTTGGTTTCTCTCGCCCGGTTCGTGAAGAACTAGCCGTGAGATGATATCAGAGTTCGGTTCAAGTATACCAATCCTTCCCCTTTGCGGTAGTGAACACAAAAGCAAGAGAGAAGAAGCTCCATCCCTCCCCCCCCCTGGTTTCTCCTATCATTCCGAGAGAGAACGCGTATCACA